AAGCAAGGACCTGGAGAGCATCCTCAGCTCATTATTGACATTCGTTCACCTGTGGAAAGAAAGCAGGAGCAAAGACTGATCGTTTTACAGGATAAGAAAGCCAAACACTTCTCCCTGCACATCACAGACACCCGGCCTGGAGACTCTGCCCTGTACGTCTGTACTGCAAGTGCACACTGCTCCACAGGCACCTGCAGCCTGTCCTTAAACCTGCCACAGGGCCTGGAGCCCTGTTCACATCCTGTGTCTCAGGCACAGCACTTGTCAGTTGATAGTTGGCAAGGTCCAAGTCTAGTGTAGATATTTAAAACACAAAATAATAAAGTTATCTTCCAGTCACTTAAAACTATTTTGGACAGTTTTTTTTCCTTTCTTCATTTAAAAAAATTACTCTAGTCAGACAATGGCGGTGCATGCCTTTAATCCCAGCACTTGGGAGGCAGAGCCAGGCAGATCTCTGTGAGTTCAAGGCCAGACTGGTCTACTGAGCGAGGAGGCCAGCCTGGTATACAGAGCAAGAGCCAGGACAGGCACCAAAACTACACAGGGAAACCCTGTTTCAAAAAACAAAAACAAAAAAAAATATTCTAAAAACTGAAATAAAAATTCATGATTCCCTTTCCCTGGTTGTAGCACATGATGATTGTCACAGAGAACCAGAACTCACTGTTCTTCAGAGAAGAAGAGGCTGTGGCACACTGAGCTCCAGGTAGGACATCTACATCACACACCCTCCTCCGAAGTTCAGAGGTCACTGAGGAAGAGGAAATATTGTAAGAGCCATAGTTAAGGATGACCACAAGGAGACAATGTTTTCTGGACTCAGCATGGCAGCTGCACAAATAAACTCACAAAGATTTACAGCACACATTAAGATTTGCCAAGGATCAGACCAGAAACTATCCCAGCAAGCAGAGGGTATCCCACCTTCAGCTAAGGAGCTAGGGACAGTTGGTAGCTGCCGGGAGAAAGATTCAGGTTTCTTTAAAGATGAATCCACTAGTGCATAGACAAGCCTCCACTGAAGGCCACACATCCAAGAGTATATGGACAGGACAAAGTGTAATGCAAACCTTGATGTATTTTTTTAAGTCAGGGCAGCAGACACAAAACTGGATTTGTAACGAAGAGTGGATGGATCTTTCAAGAGTGGAGGTGAATATAATCAAAATTAATTGTATAACATTCTCTAAGAACTAATAAAATGAGAAAAAGTAAGTTTTATCGGATAAAAATCAGTTTTATCAGAGGTGTTCGTGTGTGTGTGTGTGTGTGTGTGTGTGTGTGTGTGTGTGTGTTATTTAATTTACATTTGTCACACTAAAAAGCATAGCATACACATAGTTCAGTAATACTAGTGATTTCAAACATTCACTGTGGACTTGAGACCTGCCTCCTTTGGGTGAGGTTTCAAGTTTAATTACAGTTTGTTGTGCAGATATCTGTGGTGCAGTTTGAAGGGAAATCAGCAGAGGGCGCTGCCTCTTCAGATGTGGTTAATGTCTGCATCCAGGTGGTGGCTTCACATGACAGTCACTGTGCAGAAGGAGGCCCTTGTTTATGAGTGAGGAGTTTCAGTAAGGTCCTGCAGGAGACTTGCCCTGTGAGTTTGGTGCACTCAAGAACCAAGTGTCATTTTCTCCTATGAACATGCTCCCTGACACCTGCTCAGTTTTGCTGCTCCTCTTAATGTTCAGTAAGTTACATTTACCCTAAGTGTGGTTGTCATTTTCTTACAACTGAGAAAGTCTTTAGCCTGTTACCTCACATAGCAATGTAATTTCTTTGTTGATTGATTGATGATTAATTGATTTTCAGAAAAGATCAATGCAGATTCAGTGACCCAGACAGAAGACCTGGTCACTATAACAGAAGGGATGCCTGTGATGATGAACTGCACCTTTCAGACTATGTACTCAGGTCCTGTGGTTTTCTGGTACGTGCAATATCTCAACAAAGCCCCTCGGCTACTCCTGAGGAGCGCCACAGACAATCAGAGGACAGAGCACCAAGGGTTCCAGGCCACTCTCCAGAAGAGCAGCAGCTCCTTCCACCTGCAGAAGTCCTCAGTGCAGCTGGCAGACTCTGCCCTGTACTACTGTGCTCTGAGTGCCACAGTGAGGGGACTGCAGGGGAAGCTGCACACAAACCCAGGGTGCAGGAGGCTGAGGGAATGGCCTGGGAGGGAGGGCTGTGTGCCTTCTCTAAGTGGGGTTTACCCAGACTCCTGAAACACAACAGCACATCTCAGGTCAAATTCCTAGAAACCTAGGAATCTGTGGATACTCTGACAGGATAGATGGAAGTCATTGCTGGAGACAACCTGAGCTTTGATCCCTAAATAAAATAATGTTCTCTCCCCCTAAGTAAAGGACCTCTGATGGAAAATATCCCCAGGAAAAACCTCATATGGGATTTATCTCTACCAAGATGTCTAACAAAATTTAGTGATTGAAATTCTCCATCATATTTGTTTATTAGCCCACAAATTTATGAGCAAATTAGGAACGTAGATGCTAGTCTTTGAAAATCTGTTTCAGTCTCACTCTTTCTCTGCTTGGTCCATGTTATAGAGGGTTTAAACTAACTTCCGGTCCTAGCTACTGTTCTATTGCTGTGAAGATACATCATGACCAAGACAACTTATAGCAGAAAGCATTTAATCGGAGGCTTGATTACGGTTTTAGAAGGTGAGTCCCTGACCATCATGGTGGGGAGAACAGTAGCAGACAGGCAGGAATGGTTCTGGAACAATAGCTGAGAGCATATATTTGATCATAAGCAAGAGGGAGAGAGAGAGAGAGAGAGAGAGAGAGAGAGAGAGAGAGAGAGAGAGAGAGAGAGAGAGAGAGAGAAAGGGAGAGACTGGGCCTGCCTTCAGCTTTAAGATTACAAAGCCCACCACCAGCAACACATCTCCTCTGAGCAGGCCACAAGTCCTGATATGTTCTAAACAGTCCACAAACTGGTAAACAAACATTGAGATATATGAGCCTATGGGGGCCTTTCTCATTCAAGCCACCATCCTTGCCACTTAGTGTTTCTGCTCAGGAAATACAGCTGTTGGAGCTCTGAAGACGATGCCCTGAGAGCCAGTTCCTTGTCTTTTTTTACCCACTGTATAGGAGGCAGAAATCCTTCCACCATTGTGTCCACTCTCATCTGCCATTGCACTTTGGTTCAATCCTGAGGACCTCGTGTAGTTGCTCACCTGGGATTAGAGTTAGGTTGTCTGACAATGCTTCTGAAATGTGGGAAAGGTGGCCAAGGTTTTGATGCATCTCAGCTCTGGGAACAAAACTCTGATTTAAGGTAAAATGCTCTACTACTCATATTTATCTCTCTGTGAAGGCAGAAGGATCTGAAATCAACCACCAAGGTGTCTTTCAAGAAAGACTCATATCTTCATACCCAAAGAGCAGCAAAGAAAATACACACCTGGCACTGGATGGATCCTAGTAGAATTGTCATCAAAGAGACCAGAGGGACTCCATAGCAGCTGATGAGAGCAAGTGCTGAGTCCAGAGCCACACACTGGGCAGAGATAAGAGAGTCCTGCAGAGGAGGGGGAAGAAGTACTGGAAGAACCAGAGGGACAACAGGAGTACATGGCCTACAGAATCAACTGACTGGGACTTATGGGGTCTTGCTGAGATTAGGGAGCCAGTAGGGGTCTGACCTAGGTCCTCTGCATATGTTATGACTGGGTGCCTTGGTCTTCTTGTGGGATTCCCAACAATGGGAGCAGGAGTTGTCTCTGACTCTTTTACCTGCTTGTGGTACCCTTTACCTTCTACTGGTTTGCCTTGTCGAGCCTTGATGTGACAGTGTATGTCTGGTTTTCTTGTAGTTTATTATGTCATATTTCACAACAGATCTTTCCTTGAACAGTCAACTCACAAATAATGACAAGGAGACTTCTTATTAAGTATAAAATCTTGGCCTTAGCTTAGGCTTGTTCCTAATTAGCTCTTATAACTTAAATTTATCTGTTTATATTAATCTACATTTTGCCTCATGGTACAATACCTCTCCTCCATTGTGTACATCTGACTTCCTTCATGTCTCACTGGTAAATCCCCTCTCTCAGATTCTCCCCAGAGTTCTTTACTACCTGGAATTCCCACCCATCTTTTCCTACCTAGCTATTGGATATTCAGATATTTATTAAACCAGTCAGAAGGCACCTGAGGTAGATGAGGTAAAACAGTAACACATCTTCACACAGTGTGATCAAATATCCCACAACAGTGTTTGGTTGATATTCCTTGGTGGCCTGCTCTTTTCTGAAGGGAAACAGAAGTGCGATGGATCTGGAGAGATGGAAGGTAGATGGGGAGAGTCAGGGGGTAGGAGAGGGTGGGGAATTTGCCATTGGCATATAATATATGAGAGAAGAATAAAAAATAATATCATAGAACATGTAATGAGCACATCAGAGTAACTGGCCTATCAGTTAAAAAAAAAAAGTACACTCTATCTTATTGGTTAGGGTGCAAAATAAATTGTCAAATTGCATTTCTGAACTCCAAAAATCTACTTCAAATGGCACAGCATAGAACAGAATCTCTGAGGTGAGTGCTTGCCAAAGCTAGATTGAATGCTAAATCTAATAAAACCTCAGTGCCAGGCATGAGAAACCTCCTTCAAGTTGTTGGTCAGGGGCTTCAAGAGCCTCTTCCAAATGACCTAGGCTATTTCCATCGGTTTGATTGCCTCATAGAATTTGTAGGTAAGGCTATTTTGCTAAGAACACCACGTGCTTCAGACATAGGAATGGAGGAATTTATCTAGAAATGACCTGAAGACTCTTCCCAAAGAATGAGTTCTCATAGTATGTGCAAGATTCCAAGGGAGAAAAGCAATAAATATTCCTACCAAGCAATATAAAGGCTATGAACCAAAACAATGACCTCAATGGCAAGACATCCATAAGGATGCAATGTAGCACTTCTATCTTGGTAAAAATTAACACATATGTCTTACTGGACTTAAGGCCTGCTAAGTAGGAAGTAAATTAGACCCAATACTGCAAACCTAGTTAACTACCCATGTCTGAAGAGGTCGTAGACCATAGGAGAACCTACTCTAGCCACTTCCTTAATTAATGTAGCTTGTAACAGTATTGCAAAATCTTATAATTAAACACACATATAAGAACAGTTCTCACCCCTCATTAAAGAAGTTGAATTTTGAAGCAGATGGAGGTTACTCCAGTCATTGACAACTGATGAAATGCAGAGAATAAGCGGCTGTGAGGTCTCCAGTCCAAGTTATTATATTTAAAATGCAATTCCTACACCTAAGGCCAGGGAAAACCACAGAAAAGGAGCAGGAGGGATTTTAAGAGCCAGAGGACCAGGACACCAGCTGAGAGGATGACATGAGGGGGAAAACTTCCTCAGTGTCAATGTGACTGCAAATAGGGTATAAACCTTATAGAAATCAGTGTGAAGGTTCCTCCAAATGCTGAACATACATCTACAAAAAGATCTCTTATACCACTATTGAGGATTTAACCTAAAGAGTCTGATATTTCTATAGAGATACTTGTTCGTCTATGTTATGTTCTATTCATAATCACTAGGAATTGGAAACACCTACTGATGTCCACCAACTGAAGAGTGAATTGTGAAAATGTGGTACATTTACACTGTGGGATATTACTCATCTGTTAAATGAAATTTTGAAATTTTCAGGTAAATAGGAGGGGAGGGATAACTAACACTAAAGGCATTTTGAACAAATCAGTATGGAAAATCTGTTATGGAAACATCTTGAAACACATGCTCCAGCCAAATTTGAGCCTAGCTATAATCTGTGAGTAAACACAGACTTACAAGGCAACTTGACATGATTATTTAGCAAAATACCAATAGTAGTTCCCCTATGCTTAAGGCCTCCTGAACCAAGGGATTTTTGGCCACAATGTGGTACTAGGCATGAATTCCCTCCTGTTGAGGAGGCTTCTAATCCAATCAGAAAGCACTGTTATTCTGTAGCAGTCAGGCCACTGCCGCACCCCTGAGCATATATTATGTGGAAGTTCAGTACTGTAGCATGCAGGGTCCAGCTCTGGTCAAAACTACTGCTATCCTTTCTTCCCCAGCAGCCTGCATAAGACCTTCCAGTGCTATGAATTCAAGCTAGCAGGGTGGACTTCCCCCAGTCAGTTCAAGGTTGGTTTCTCTCTGTCATGTAACAGTAGAATGTGGTAGCTTTAAACATTGGATCTCACCATCTAGTGATTGTGGGCAGCCAAGAACTATGACAATATCCAGTGTTGTTTTGTATACCTCTGGGGCCTCCCTGATCAATAACTGAGATTGTTATTTAGTAAACTCACCTAAATTCTCCAAAGCTAGATTTATGCATGTGAAAGACCATAATATGAGTATTAAAGTGATAAATTATTAAGATATTCTTTGTAGAACAGGTAGGTGATAGATTATCCAGATTGGAAGAATATTTCATGAGGGGATAATGAAGCACGTGCTCCAGAGTCCCTTACCCAAACAGACTCAAGGTCTAAGGAGACCCCAGTGGTATGGTCCAGAGTTTTAA